GAGAGAGAGAGAGAGAGAGAGAGAGAGAGAGCAGGATGGGGTAGAATACCACCGGGATGGGGTAGAATACCAAAGAGAAATAAAAATGATTGGAAGGAATGAGGGTAGTTGCAGAACAGAACGAATTAAAATAAGAAACAAAAAAGAAGAAATACCGAGGAATGTATTTCGCAAAAATATTGGGTGCGTTTTTGAAAGGACTTGCAAGTTATAGACGTTCTGAATTTTAATCATTTTTATTGTACGGTTGACACTTTCTCAGCATGTGTCAGTTTCTCTAGTACGCCAGAATTTGTGTCTTCGGAGAATCTGTTATATGTTGAAAATATGGCATTTAGCTCCCATGTAAGTGGAAGTTTTATTGAGGGAGGCAGGGTTTCCTAAACCTAAGAGTTCAGGCGCTTTCGAACTTTCCTTGGTTTTTGGAAGCAGGATTATATTATTATCATCGCGTAATGTCAATGCTCCGACTTTTTCTTTCAAAACCACAAAGGTTACATAAGGGGAAAACCCACAAAATTAGGTATATTTCTGTGTCCGCTCTTTTTCAACGACAATGCACTCAGTGAGGGTATTATACTCAGAAAACAATATAAGAATCTTGGTCAATAATTTTAGCTTTCTACAAAGTTGAGCAACGGCTAGAAATTTTATACATTGTAAAGTCAACATTGTCTTTTATTGTGTGAAACCAACAAAGCACATTTGACTGGACCTTTGTGCAATAAGGAAAATAACGGGATTTCCAATGAAAAGACTATCCAAATCATAACCCGTTTCTAGTTTGCCCCTGTTTTCTGTCATGTCCGCCATTTTGTGTTCCTTTACTTTTAAATTCCACGTAAGCTTAACATCTTTCAATTTTCTCTCATTTTGAGACAGTATGTTTCTATTGATGGAACAGAGCGGGTGGTTAAATGGGTGACGCTGGTAGGCCCTTATTTCCTCTCTCTCTCTCTCTCTCTCTCTCTCTCTCTCTCTCTCTCTCTCTCTCTCTCTCTCTCTCTCTCTCGCTCTCTTGTTTCTGTCTGTTCTGGAGCTTCCCTTACTTGTACTTCTCTTTACAAAAACTAAAAATATGACACGTTGGTGGGTGCTATTGCGTGGTTTGCTCATTCTGTTCTTCCAAATATCGATCATCTCTATATCTCCTCCTTCGTTTATTTGCATGTTACGTCCTAGTAAAACCTCTAATCTTCGGCACGTGTATGACCTAATTGTGTTGCAAGTGCCGTAAAAAAAATTTAGAGGAAAATATATATATTTTTTAATAACAAAAAGACCTGAAGGGAAGTTTTAATCTGCAAACTATCCTTCACTCCGTTAACGCCCTTTTGTTTTTGCTTCTGTTGTTTATTGGTTTTTGTGGGAGGGGTATTTTTTGTTTTTATTTTTGTTTTCGTTTGTTTGGGATTTTCTTTTCTCTCGCAAAGTTGAAAAAAGGGATAAAAGATTAGATCAGGTTAACGAACACCCATGACTCACTCCGTTCTCCTACCAATGCTGATAATGCGAACAACGAAATCTATTGAGGAATGACGAGGGAATCACAAGAGGCGAGGGTTCTTGGCAGGGATGACCATGGCGTCAACGGGCCCAACCCCTTCTGGTCAATTCTTATTAACTAGCTGGGCTCCCTTTCGATGAAAGGAATGATTGGTGCATTAACATCAACTGAAAGTCAATTTGCCTACTATATTTACATTCTACTGGAATGGAGCTATAAATCTTGAGAGAAAATGACACATGTGTTTATAAAGTTGTCAAATATATAGAGTCTAATAGATGTATAGATTGAATCTCTATGAGGCTTTCGTGGTTGTACACTCCAGAATGTGGATGGTTGGCGGGTGCTCTAGTATGGTTGCTCCTTCTTTCCCATCGAACATCTATAATACTTATCTCCCCTTCTTCTTTTTTATGTTTGTTACTCTCTTGTAACACATCTAATCTGCTGGCGCTCATATGACCTTATGCAGTTGCGAGTGCCGTAAAACCTCTTCTAAAACTAAAAACTAACACTCCAGAATTTCAAAGGCGCACGGCTTGTGAAAGGAAACCTCACTTATTACAATGGCGCCTTGGAAGACGGACTTTCCCAAGATTAGATCTAAACGAAACTAATGAAAAACTGAAAATTAAACTACAGTGACTTCAGGCTCCTCAATGAAACTGTGCACCCTTTAAATGGTTCTGAACCACCATTAATTTTGTGAAATTCGAAAGTCAAGTGGGTCGGAAGTTTTAGGCGGTGAAAGTGACGAACTCTCACAAGTATAATAGTATGTATAGATTACTGACAAATGTATCTTAGACCTTAGAGCGAACAACGAAATCTATTGAGGAATTCCTTAGAGCATGCATCAAAATAACATTGAGTGTGTATCTAGCTTACGATTATTATTGTTTTATATTGCTGCTCATTTATATTATGTATGTGATTGTAAGCCTACTTGTGTGTGCATGTGCGTGCACGTGTGTACGTGTGTGTGTGTGTGTG